GACCTACAGGCTGCAGGTTGGACGCCCTGGCAAGGTCAATAAACTTGACTTACACCATCCTGTGAGGTTTCAGCACTCTTTGCTGCTTAACTTACCAAATTGCCTGGTTTTTCTCATTTTGCAGGACTGTTGAGAATATTAAATTGTGAATAATTCTTTTTGCTACAGAAAGCCAAGCCAGAATCTCATTTATACTAATGATTTAAGTGAAAAATCATGATAGACTGTGCTTAGGCAGACAAGATACGGTAGTAGTTACAGTACCGGCCACATACACCGAGGCTGGCGGGTTTGAACCCAGCCTGGGCCAGCTAAACAACGACAACTGTAACAAAACAACAACAACAACAAATAGCAGTGCATTATGGTGGGCGCTGTAGTCCCAGCTACTAGGGAGGCTGAAACAAGAGAATTGCCCAAGAGTTTGAGGTTGCTGTGAGCTGTGATGTCACAGCACTCTCTACCTAGGGTGACATAATGAGACTCTGTCTCAAAAAAAATAAAAATAAAAAAAGAAGGCTGGATTCTACCAGGCAACCTCTCACTGAGCTCACAGGAATGTCATAGATTCTCCAAGAATCACCCTATCCACTCTACGACAAAAGAACCAACCACCTGTGGAAAGAACGAGTGCTGGTGTCATTAAGCTTTAAGCGGAAGATCTGGAACTACACTGAGGCTACATATCTATAATATGGGACAGGAACAAGGAGATCAGAGCCAGAGCCTCCACATCAAACCAAGACCACTGAAAAGCACTTAGGAGGTTACAAGCCCTCTGTGCTCTGAGCAGAAGCAATGGAAACTGTCTCTGGAGGATGCAATTTAGTCCCTTAGGATTCAAGCAAATACAATCTCAGAAATTTTTTAAAATCACAACACATAGGAGACCACATATGAAGATGTAGACCCTCACAGACATGTTAAAAGAAAAAGTTTGACACATTAAATTTAACAGAATGTTTTTGAGCAAAAATTAATTCATGAATCAGGCAATATTCAGAACAGGTTCAGAAAGCTCCACTCTACAAGGTGTATAGCGAGTATTTACAGAACAGGATAATAAAGTACAGAAATACCTTGATTGTTTATAGCTGGGCATTTGCCTTATTTGATCATGATATGATCAGTGTGCAGCCTGTGCTTGGTGTAAACTTGATTGCTCATGATTAGTTGTGACCTGGATATCTGTTATAAAAATACACTCAGGTTTCAGTTTGATTATATATATAGCTTACTACAAAAGTTTTGAGACAGACTGTGTTATGGTCTGTTATTTCACTTCCAAGAAACACAGTCCACAGTGTCCTTTCTGATTCACCTGCACAAGTTTCAACTTGCTCAGTTTCTGGGTACTGCTGGAGGCTTCATTTGTTTCCACTCTCACGGATATTGTTTCTTGAGTTGGGTGTATCTCAAAACTTTCATAACGACCCATTGGACTAAGTCAGGTTGCAGTTTGTTACCTAAGGACTCAAAGTGCGAAGATAGTCTCAAGATCAAATTTCATTTAAAAATTCCTCCTTTTGCTTTGCCAGTCAATTTTGAGAGATTGACCAAAACTTTAGACATTGGTATGACTCTCTGTCACTAACACAATGGACTTGTTGGCTCGTCCTATATCACAGTGGTTACAGCACCAGCCACATACACCAAGCTGGCGGGTTCCAGCCCAGCCCAGGCCACCTAAACAACAATGACAAAAGCAACAAAAAATAGCCAGGCGTTGTGGCAGGCGCCTGTAGTCCCAGCTACTTGGGAGGCTGAGGTAAGAGAATCACTTAAGCCCAGGAGTTTGAGGTTGCTGTGAACTGTGACGCCAGGGCACTCTACCAAGGGGGACACAGTGAAACTCTGTGTCGGGGCCCGGGACTGGCCAGGTCTCGGACCCAGCTTATGTAGGTTCCAGATGCGGACCACTAAGTTACCTTGCTCAGGTACAGTTTCTCTTAGGTGCCTGAGGGCTATCTACTTTAGCTGGAGAGAGAGAGAAAGTGTCTTAGAGTAAAGCAGTCTCCTTAGAATAGACAGATCTTAGTCTTTAGCAGAGCTTGGTAATCTTCAGCAGAGAGATGCCGTGCTGGCATTCTGCAGGCAGGAGAGGAGACAGAGTCAGAGTAGAAAGTGCATGCTCCCAACTGCCTTCTCCTCCAGCCTAATATAAGGCTGATCTCGTGCCTCTCAACACCACAGGTATAGAGACTGCCAATTCACCAATGCTCTCATCTTGCAAGCTCTCATGCTTGTTAGGAGAGCTAAATCTCTCCATGCCCTTTCAACAAGATGTTCCATTATTGAGCTATACAGGTATTTCTTATAACTCTCACTCCTCCTAGCCATAAGCTATATGGGCTGCTACAACCCCGTCTCAAAAAAAAAAAAAAAAAAGGACTTGTTTAGTATGGAATGCACAATTCACTGACATCAGAAATTCACTGACATCAGATCAGCTAAACAATGCTTTAAGTTCTCCTTTAATGCACGGGGGATGGCTACATACAAACATTAAAGGCTCTTGAGAGGATACAACACGTCAAGGCCACTACTATGATGACCTTTAGGAGGATCCTGCC